GCATGGGGTTGGCCCCGGGGACTGGCCGGGACTCCGCGGTGGCAGAGCCGAGGGTCCCGTCCGGCCTGGTGGCCGGTGTGAAGGGGGCTGGGGAGACACGGTGGACACAGGCCTCCCGCTCAGAGCTGCACAGGGACGTCCACACTGGCCCTGCCGCCGGCAGGCCCCGGGTGCCTGCTAAGCCAGCCCAGACCCCAGGAGCCTGGGGGAGCTGCTGCCGCAGGGACCCCGAGGGGACTGAGGCGGCCCAGCCGCCCAGCACCACTGCCCAAGCCCCACCCCGGCTGGGGGCCCTGCCCGCAGCAGGTGGCCCCCTCCCCGCCAGCCTGCCACCGCCCCTCCCTGGCCCAGGCTGTGCTGCGCTGGGTGGGGAGTCCCTGAATGCGGGGCCCACCCCCCGCTGCCTTTCCCCAGGGGATACCTGGGGCCCTGCGGTGTCCCCAAGAACGTCAGGTGACCCATGAGCTCGCCAGCCCCTCGTTCACGATGGAAGGATCGTGCACACGTGTGTCTGCGTGGTCTCCCTCGCCCCGCCCCGCCCCCCCCCCCGCTCTGGTCTGCAGCCTGCTCCCCAGGGCCTCGGCCAACGTCCGCCACGGCACCCTCACCCACCCTCGCCAGCCCTGGGGCAGCCCCCCACCGCCCCAGGCACAGAGACCACGACGGGGACATTTCCTGGGGTGGCCCTGCCTGCCGCACTGACCGCACGGCCCTGACCCCCATGGCCGATCCCCAAGAGCGGGCTTGGTACTTACTGCGAGGATTGTTCTCACTCTAGAACCCCATTTGCCTCTCAGGTCAGGGCTCAAGGGGGCGCCATACCAGACCCCGCACTGGTCACTGACCTCTCTCGCCTGCCCCCCTGGGCCAGGGCTCCGCTGTCCCCTGCAGGGCCAGCAGCGTGTGGTCACCAGCCCGGGCTCTGCCTGGAGGTCAGTGGGCAGCGCCCTCCTGGGCTCGTCCCCCAACCTGCCGTGCACAGCGGAGGCTCCCCGGTGACCTCCAGGTCCCTGCAGGGCGGCCCTGCCCAGAGCAGGCGCCCTCCCTGAGGCCTGGGCACCCGCCCGCCTGGTCGGGCTGGGACACTGACCCTGGACCTGC